TTCGGTCTGTCAGCAGCAGTTAAATAACCTGCACCATTCATCACGCACACACACACGCACACACACACACAACCTAAGTGTTTTAATGAAATTAAGCTTATTATTATTTCACACTTTCTCTGCCTCACAGTACGTCCTCAGAAATCAACAATTACAATCGCACCTAATTTACTTCTGAAGTTCTATACAGTCTTTGCTCTGTAGTACACTTATCACACATAGTACACACAGTACACAGCAAGTAAATGAAAATTTACGCTCACGATGCATCTACAACAAGAACACGTCCGTCCTCGCTCTCACTCCATCTCCCAAACTCTAGCTCTGCTCCTCACCTGTCCCCAGGTGTAAGACGTCGTAAGGTCCGTCCTCGGCATCCACCCTGTCCACCACCACTCTCTTTAACATGTAGGGCGCGTTGACCCGGGTCATGATGGGTCTGCCGCCCAGAGGCGGGACCGGCTCCCACATCAGCTGGTGCTGCCGCATAAAGCTCACCACCTCGTCGGGGAAGTCCTTGGTGGATTTGTGGAGAGCGTCGTAGGTCTCACTGGGACACTGGAGGACAAGAGACATGGTGAGCAAAGAGGGGAGAGGCCGTGTGTGTGGAATTAGGGTCAGGGCGCGCACGCACACATGCACGCACGGTGGATCCGGAGATGTGGCCCCTAGTGGAGTAATGAGCTCTATCCACAGACATTCTGGTTGTACAATGTGACTTAAATATGTGAGTAGGACAAAACAAAAGAAGAGTTGATTCTTGAGATGTCTGTGAACTCACAGTTCCAGGTCTGGGATATGGGATGCGGCCCTTGTACTCCACCCAGCGATAGTCAGGACCTTCTTTATGGGCAAACGGTCCGTTGAACGCCGCGCGGATCGACGCCATGGAGAAGACACACACGGCCGAACCGCGGAATATAGAACTGTGGACGAAAAGAAAAAGTGTTGGTGGAGGTTGTGAACGACAAAGAGTTTGAAGAGAGAGGAGGATGACGGAGAAAAGGAGGAAGTGATTCAGTGAGTCAGTGAATGTTTTGTATTGAACAGGGAAGAAAGGGATGAAAGAGTGGAGAGAGAGAACAGGACAGGAAGAGGAGAAAAGAAGTGGGAGAGCTTTCATACGTCAGGGTTAAAATAACAAAACCAGCTGGGCCTCTTCACCTTTCACCCCAACGCAGACGCACACACACACACACACACACACACAC